CTCCTCCCGAAAAATTTTCACCATCCTTATCACTGAAACAATTGAACAAATAGCCATACAAAAAGAAAAACTATTTTGGTTTGCTGCCACAAACTAAGGAAGTTTACATGTGCCTAAAAATGATGTGTTGAAGTCTCCACACCATGTATTTTAATGTTACATAAGTAGTCAAGCTACAATGAAATAGAAATACTGTGACAAAACAACATGAAGGTCTTGGACCATGAAATCACCACAAGGCGATTGACTCTGTAACTCACCCTTTCCTCCTCTGTACCAAGAAAAAATGACTGGAATGCAAAAGAATACAGCAAATATTTGTTGAATTAAAAACATGAATAAATAAATGAATATATTTTCTTATATGGTAAAGACACACCTTCCCTTTGAAATAAAACGTAACTTTTGGAAGTATTCCTGTACAACGAAGGATATTTAGATCATCACTAGAAACCTAAGACAGGATTGTGTTTGGAACTGGGCAGGGGGAGGGGAGATTCTTGACTACTTCTCACTGTGTGCACATTTTTATTTTCTAAATTTCTTTCTTCTTCTTCTAAACTTCTGTTTCCCTTCTCTTTTATCCTCTTGCTCTTTGTTCTCCCTTGTATTTCTGTTTTTCTCTATTTAGTATGGTTTTAAACCAAAGCTGTTTGAATTTCAATTACTACTAAACAGAATGGTGAGCACTCAAGTGTTTCTAGAAAACAAAAACTGTCTTCGTACTTTATCAATACTTTGATGTCATGCACCTCATTTAAAGTGTTCCATGATTCCGCTATAGATATGTGGATTTTAACTTGTAAAAAAAAAAAAAAGAATGAATTTCAGCAAGTATATGCTGGTTGCACTAAAACAAGTTTGACTATTTCTATACTGACTGTTCAGAACTATACCTGCGTCATTCTAATGTAATTAAACCAGTAAATAAGTAGTTTTCCATCTTACATCATCAGCCCGTTGACTATAATAATGTGTAAAGTCACATCACCAAACTCACCTGGAATTTAGGGAGTTAGAAACAAGCAATTTTATTTTATTTCTCTTCATAGATATTTGCATTTAGAGCTAGCTGAAGTTATAGATTCAATCCTTTTCATGACCCTTAAAATACTATATTAGCTAAATGTTCACACTTGTCCTTTTTAGCTTTAAAAGAAATGTCACATACTAGGTTTTTGTAAATGACCCGCATACAGATGTGAACCAAACATAATAGCTTCTGCCACTCACCAGGCAATGAATTGCTGCAAATATAGGACACAGGGCAGAGGACTTGGTAAATTACTTTGTTTCGCTGGCCATCATCAGAACCTGTGGCATAATATGTGACCCATTTCTATGAACAATAATGCCTAAGGCTTACAGACAGGTGGAATGTAGTTTCTCTTTTAATTACATTTTGAAAAAATAATTTAAGAATATTAAAATTTCAAACATAGTGAATAGTTGTATCATTAAAATAAATCTAAATTTGCAGCCATCACCATAGTGATGTGTATTTCAATAGAAAATTATAAGATTTTAGCTTTTTATTAAAAAGCAACGCAAACACATAAAAATTCAAGAATAGTATAATAGCTTGTATAGTCTCCTCCTAGATATACTAATTGTTTAAATTTTTTCATGTTTACTTTTCTTTCACCCAATATGATCAAATATCTTTAATTTTATATAATTCAATTTGGTATTCACACAAACACACACGCACTTCCAAAATGGCAGAAGGTGGATGAAAATACGTGTGTATGTGTTACTTATGACCCATTTGAATGAATAATAAACTTTCATAACTAAATATGATCATGAAAAGTCTAAACTTAATATTTTATTAAACGTTGTATATACAGAGAGAATAGTCTGTTGCTCTCTTTCATCAACGTTACCAAAACCCTATTTATTTATATAATTGAAACCATTTTTATATTGTTTATCTTTACAAAAATTCTCCTAACATTTAGTTGGACTTTAAACTTCTAAGGAGAACCAGAAAAGCAGAAGTTCAGCAGATGTACAAAAGGATAAAATATCTTTTTCTTCAAAAGAATAATTCACTTTTCGATAGACATTGTTTGAATGATTATATTATCAAAAGCATTACATAATTATCAATGTTCAATTTATTTATTTTATTATTTTGCTTATGTAACTATACACTGTTTTCTCCTTGTTTATATAAGCTGGCTTTATGGAGCTGGAAAATATGCTATAAACTAATAAAGGTTGGTAAATTGGCTCATTAACAACCCTTCATGGAACTTTTCACTAGAAAATGCCACCCAAAATGGCAAGAAAAAAAATTTTAGGTAAAACTATAAAGCAATTAATCTTTGTACAGCTTTACATATTCCAGTATGCCATTTTTTTCTCTTTCAAAACACTTGTTTATCATCCTGTAGATCCAGGCTTGGATGTTTACATAATTATTCCTTCAAACAGAATGAAGGCAAAATAAAGAGAAGACAGACATTTTCTGGGCAAAAGAAACAGAAGCCAGCAGAAACAGGACTGTGATTCCTAATTAATTCAAAGTTAATTGCATTGTTGATAATCCCACACTTAAAATCTTCATATAGGAAATGTTTATGGCAGCAAATCGACAGTAATTTAACTACATTAAATCTTACCACCATGAAAAGAAAAAGATAAATGTTACATGAAACGAACTTAAGAGAATGGTAAAGACTAGTTCTTGTTTAACAAGGCAACTAGTAAATCATTCAAATGGGTGACCTAGAATCTCAAAGCACAGTAAGAGCAGTAGTTGTGTTTTTGGATGGCACGAGCCATATGGCTTTTCTTTGCTTTTATTTTCACTCTGTGATAAATGCAAAATAGTTGAGAAAAAAAAAAAAAGGACGTATAGAAGATCTTATCTGGCAGCTAAAAGTCAAAACGTCTCTTTTATTATTTTGGAAAGAATCAAGGTAGAGGTAGTTAAATGAAGATCAGCATCGTATCAGTTATTTAACTGATGAGTCAGTGTGATAGAGTAAAAGGAACTTTGAAGTTAACTCTGAGTTTAAATTCTGTCTTTGTTTCTTACTGTATTAATACATTTCTGTTGCTTATAACAAAATACCTAGAACTGGGTCATTTGTAAAGAAACAATATTTATTGCCTACAGTTTCTGAGTCTGGGAAGTCCAAAGTCCAGGGAACATACCAGACGAGAGCCCTCTTGGTGGGTAGTGACTCTTCACAGCAAAGCAGAGTGTCACATGGTGGATGGCTGAGCAGAGAGAGAGACTAAAATCCTCACCGCCTCTTCTTTTAAAGCCCTCAGTACCATGCCAGGGACCACCATTAAATCAAGTGGATTAATCCATTCACTATGTCATGGTCCTCTTAATCTAATCACCTCTTCAAGGCTCCCCCGACCTCTCAATTACTTTAATAGGATTTCCCACCCTCTAAACAATTACAGTGGGAATTAAGCTTCAATGAGTTTGGGGGGACATTCAATCCACAGCACTTAAAACACTAAGGCTAACTTTTTTTATTTTAGTGTGTTAATATGTAAAAGGCAGGATTAAGGTGAGGCTTAATCCTCAATGGATGTGAAATTGACTGCCATTATAAAGGAAAATCAAGGGCAGGCCCGGTGGCGCACTGCTACAGTGCGCCGCTTGGGAGCGCGGTGGCGCTCCCGCCGAGGGTTCGGATCCCACATACAGACCGGTTCCCGCTCACTGGCTGAGCGGGGTGCGGGCATGGCACTGAGGGTTGCAATCCCATTGCTGGTCCCAGTCCGGTACGGGGGCGACACTGAGGGTTGCAATCCGTTGCCGGACACGAAAAAAGACAAAAAAAGGAAAAAAATAAAAAATAAAAATAAAGGAAAATCAATAAATTCCAGTATTAATTATCTGGACTATTTAAAACAAAATATAATTATTGTGATCATTGAAATAAAATACTTGCAATTCTCTACTTTGAATGGGTAGGTTGATAGTCCAATTTATATCTTGGGCCTTTTAAGAAAATGTATTTCTGCCCAAGGTAGTTTACTGACACTGATACATAAGGGATCTTGGTCTGGCCTAGGAACTGTTAGTGGCACAATTCGGTGATTCTTAAATTAGTGTCAGATGTACATGGTGAGCCAAACATATGCTAAATCAAAAGATAAATATGATATTTCCCCAGATTTTCAATTTTACTTGAAGTTTTGAAAAATAAAACATGTATTAAAATAAATACTAGTAGATTAGAGGTAGTATACACATTTTTTTCTACCTTTAGGGGTATTTAATGGAACCATTTTATAAGTATTGGCCTAATTAATGCCTATAGTACTCATCTAAATGTTACTTAATATCAAAGAATTAATATTTTTGTTAAAATATCAATTTTTTGGTAAGGTACTATTACTTTATTAGTATCCCAAGAAAAACAGTGATTTTCTGAGTTAATATTTGGAGTTGTTTTGAAAAGTGGTAAAAGATGAAATGAGTGTTTATCAGGTTAGGTGCTTCGGCAAATTGGTCCATTTATCATTCAAGTTGGAAAACAACCAACTAAGCGGTATCTCTGTGCTGACTGAACGACCTGGATCCAATGGAGTTTCTACCACACAGGTACCAAAACCAACTCATGGAGGAAGAGTGAACCCGATTTGAAATTTCCTTTAGATAAATTCCTCACATGGGAATTAATTTGGATATTCATAATCCAAATTCATGGCTAAACATTTATCAGTTTTCTACAGTCTATTACGTATACATGAAAAATCAGAAGCAGTAAGCTTACAGGAAATAACTACCAAAAAAAAAAAAAAAAAATCCCCCAGATTGCTGTGGTTGGGTTATGATATTTAGCTGAGGAAATTATCAAATAATTTCTGTAATCTTAATCATCAAATAACTTCTGAAGAAAAGAATGGGAAAAATGAGCTAAATAAATGAGTTAATAAAATAAACATAAATTACTTAACATGGGAGAAAAAGTAAATGAGATTTGCGAAACATAAAAACAAATAACAGATGATTTTGTTCTTAGGTTGCACAGTGATTCTTGGACACTAGATGCATTTCAGCATATACAGAGTGAAGAAACCAAGTTTTTTATACCGTATGACTTGGAGATTTCCAATCAGGAGCTAAGTTACGTAGTGAAAAGATCTGTGCTATGGAGAGGAGCCAATGGTGAAAGAAAAAAGGCGAGCTGGATTGAAGTAGATTTGTTTTCTGACTATGCAAAAGAAACTCACTCTACTAGCGTGTCACCAATTTGTTACATTTTCTCATGTTGCTCTTGAAATTATTTACTGTTGTATATGACTGCCACCCTTGTGCAAATCTTCCAACTTGATTTTATATTGTTTATTTAATTCGTTGTAATAGGGAGACTAGACTAGATGGTTCTTATAGTTTAGCACTGTTATTTTCTAAGAGAAATATCTACTAATACCTGCTCTATGTGTATTGGGCACAACTGCACAAGCAGTGTGAAGAATACAGAAGAAGCCGGTGTAGTCTCCAATGTGAAAAGATTGTTGGCTTTAATGTAGCCTTGAGTGAACGGGAAGAAGAGACTGCTCTTTCTGTCTTTCTCCTTCAGTGCCTTTGTCAGTTTGTCCCCTGGATTCTCTTTCCTCTTTTGGGAATCTCCTTAACAGACTTCTTTGGCTCTAATTCCTCATTCAGCTTCTTCTATGTTAATGTCTTCCAGGGTTTTGTACCTTTTTCTTTTTTTAACTCTTCTTACTGTACACATTGTCTTCCTGTTAACCTCCTTTCAAACTGTCTTCCATCCTGCTGAAGATTCTCAAGTGTCTATCTGAAGGGAACACCTCCCTTCTGAGTCCCGTACTATATAACCCAATACCTTACTTGACGTCTCCAGGTGGGTGTCCCAAAGATACCTAAAACCCAGTATGGTCCAAACAAAATCTACTTCACACATATTGCCTATACTATATAACCCAATACCTTACTTGACGTCTCCAGGTGGATGTCCCAAAGATACCTAAAACCCAGTATGGTCCAAACAAAATCTACTTCACACATATTGCCTAATTAATTAATTAATTAATTAATCAGCACGTTACATTTCACCTGTATCACGAAAGCACAGCATTCATACTTCTAATAGTCTCTAAACATAGTGTTTTCATCTACTCTGGATCACAAAGGTCCAAAACTTAGAGTTTTCCTAGACTTCTCGCTGTCTCCCAGACTTTTCTTTTATTGGAACTATTGATTCTACTTTCTTAATATCCTCTCTATTGCATTTGCTACTACTGTACATAGCCCAGGCCTTCAACACCCAGCTGCTGTAGCACAGCAAGACTTTGCTAACTCCGTTCTCTAACTTCAGTCTCACACTGCAGTTGCCCTGTCTTCACACCGTCCATGAATTCACTTTGTTAGAGTGACATTTCTAAAATGCAGATATGACCTTACATTTTCTTGTTATATTTCCCATTACCTGAAGAATAAAAGCCAAAATTCTTAATATTACGTAATTGCTGTTTAATCTGATTGTTTCCTATCTTCTCAGCCACATCTCCTGTAATCACATTCTTCTTACCAAAGATGCTTCTTACCAAAATATGATTAAGCCATATAAAAAATATGAATCATTTGTTAAATCCAAAACCAACTCATGGAGGAAGAGTGAACCCGATTTGAAATTTCCTTTAGATAAATTCCTCACATGGGAATTAATTTGGATATTCATAATCCAAATTCATGGCTAAACATTTATCAGTTTTCTACAGTCTATTACGTATACATGAAAAATCAGAAGCAGTAAGCTTACAGGAAATAACTACCAAAAAAAAAAAAAAAAAATCCCCCAGATTGCTGTGGTTGGGTTATGATATTTAGCTGAGGAAATTATCAAATAATTTCTGTAATCTTAATCATCAAATAACTTCTGAAGAAAAGAATGGGAAAAATGAGCTAAATAAATGAGTTAATAAAATAAACATAAATTACTTAACATGGGAGAAAAAGTAAATGAGATTTGCGAAACATAAAAACAAATAACAGATGATTTTGTTCTTAGGTTGCACAGTGATTCTTGGACACTAGATGCATTTCAGCATATACAGAGTGAAGAAACCAAGTTTTTTATACCGTATGACTTGGAGATTTCCAATCAGGAGCTAAGTTACGTAGTGAAAAGATCTGTGCTATGGAGAGGAGCCAATGGTGAAAGAAAAAAGGCGAGCTGGATTGAAGTAGATTTGTTTTCTGACTATGCAAAAGAAACTCACTCTACTAGCGTGTCACCAATTTGTTACATTTTCTCATGTTGCTCTTGAAATTATTTACTGTTGTATATGACTGCCACCCTTGTGCAAATCTTCCAACTTGATTTTATATTGTTTATTTAATTCGTTGTAATAGGGAGACTAGACTAGATGGTTCTTATAGTTTAGCACTGTTATTTTCTAAGAGAAATATCTACTAATACCTGCTCTATGTGTATTGGGCACAACTGCACAAGCAGTGTGAAGAATACAGAAGAAGCCGGTGTAGTCTCCAATGTGAAAAGATTGTTGGCTTTAATGTAGCCTTGAGTGAACGGGAAGAAGAGACTGCTCTTTCTGTCTTTCTCCTTCAGTGCCTTTGTCAGTTTGTCCCCTGGATTCTCTTTCCTCTTTTGGGAATCTCCTTAACAGACTTCTTTGGCTCTAATTCCTCATTCAGCTTCTTCTATGTTAATGTCTTCCAGGGTTTTGTACCTTTTTCTTTTTTTAACTCTTCTTACTGTACACATTGTCTTCCTGTTAACCTCCTTTCAAACTGTCTTCCATCCTGCTGAAGATTCTCAAGTGTCTATCTGAAGGGAACACCTCCCTTCTGAGTCCCGTACTATATAACCCAATACCTTACTTGACGTCTCCAGGTGGGTGTCCCAAAGATACCTAAAACCCAGTATGGTCCAAACAAAATCTACTTCACACATATTGCCTAATTAATTAATTAATTAATTAATCAGCACGTTACATTTCACCTGTATCACGAAAGCACAGCATTCATACTTCTAATAGTCTCTAAACATAGTGTTTTCATCTACTCTGGATCACAAAGGTCCAAAACTTAGAGTTTTCCTAGACTTCTCGCTGTCTCCCAGACTTTTCTTTTATTGGAACTATTGATTCTACTTTCTTAATATCCTCTCTATTGCATTTGCTACTACTGTACATAGCCCAGGCCTTCAACACCCAGCTGCTGTAGCACAGCAAGACTTTGCTAACTCCGTTCTCTAACTTCAGTCTCACACTGCAGTTGCCCTGTCTTCACACCGTCCATGAATTCACTTTGTTAGAGTGACATTTCTAAAATGCAGATATGACCTTACATTTTCTTGTTATATTTCCCATTACCTGAAGAATAAAAGCCAAAATTCTTAATATTACGTAATTGCTGTTTAATCTGATTGTTTCCTATCTTCTCAGCCACATCTCCTGTAATCACATTCTTCTTACCAAAGATGCTTCTTACCAAAATATGATTAAGCCATATAAAAAATATGAATCATTTGTTAAATATGCCATCTTGTTTCACATTCCCGTACAGTTCTCTCTGCTTGGAGGGGAACCCTCCCAACTCTTCATCCACTACGTAGCAAACCAGTCATTCTGCCAGGGCTCAGCTCAAATGTTTCCTCTGTGGAGCCAACTCAGAGAGGACCATTTCCTTCTTGTCAAAACTGCCTGTTTTACCTGACACTTCTAGGATCCAGCACACAATTTGGGAATTACCTGTTTATGTGTCCCTCTTTCTTTTGAGACTGAGATCTCATTGTGGAATAAAAGAGTAGATTCTCTGTCTTTATGTCCTCAAACTCTAACATGGACTATAGAATATAGTACCTGTTTACTGACTATTTGTTCAATACATAAAAGAATGCATGCATGAATAGTTGACTGATTGAACATATTTAGTTTGCCCATAGAATGAACCTATAAGGTACCTCATTGCACTCCCTAACTTCAAACATTAACTTCTTAAAAAATTTCACGTGAATTCTGTTAATATATTCAACATGCCTAAATTTCTGTTTATTTCACAGTTAATGTAACATGACAGCAGACATTTCTAAGATCACTGTTCCTGACCTGAAGCAAAACAAATTTCACTTTACCATATATTCATTCTGGTTTCATTTTTTTCATCCTTGACTCACAGCACGAATAAAAGTTAAAAACTGTGGAAATTATCTTAAAATTAAACAAAGAGCACATCCTCTCTAGGATAATTTCAGACTGCCTGTGGTGGGTAGAGTGTGTTTTATTTTATTACTAGGTTTCACAATATGGAAGTTTAGGAATTTGGAAGCAATCCAAAGTTGAGTATGAGAGTGGTTTGAGCTGAATGACAGTACCTAAAAAGAGAAAACAGAGAAAAATA